CCTAAACCCCTAACCCCTAAACCCTGAACCCTGTATTACTAGTTCTTCCGACCCCTAGAACAGGGGACCCCTTAGTTCGAGAAAACCCCCTAAGGGTCCAAGTACCTAATAATCATACACTCTCCCAAATATTAACCTAAAAAACTACTGTCCGCAACCCTAAACCCTAAACCCTAAACCCTAAACCCTAAACCCTAAAGTACCTCATTATTGGGTCCTTTGGACCCTTAGGGACCCCTCATACAGACCGTCACCAGCCGGCCTGAGCCTCCACCCCGTCCACCCGCGCGTCAAGAGCGGTGATACCTTCATGGCGCTCAGGGGTTTAGGGTTTAGGGTTCAGGGTCATGGAGGCTTCGACAGTGAAGTGGTGTAGGATTTCAGCTTGAAGGGCTTTTGGCGTTTAGGGCTTCAGGATGTGGGATTTTTAGCAGCTGCTGTGGTAGGTGTAGCAGCGACGGTGGCGGTAGTCGGAGGTCGTGCCCGGGGTTAACTGGCTGAAGCTCCCTCGGTTGAACTGAAGGATTCAGCAGAATCAAAAACATTGAGATTGCTTCAGCACCGTGGGGTGGTCATGTGGGTAAGACGGCGAGTTCGGAAGTATTACCGCAATGCGAACTGTCACTGTTTCCATGGGGAATTCAGCCCTGGTCGTTCATTTTGCTGTGGCAGGGCCTGGCCAGCGACCTTTCACTATACACCCTGTCACCCCGCAAATCCCCGAACAGCCCCCAAAGTCCCTAAAACCTACTTATAAACCCTAAACCCTAAACCCTACTTATAAACCCTAAACCCTAAATCCCTAAACCCCTAAACCCTGCAAAGTTCTTGCAACAAAGAGAAGTTCAGCCTCGGAAAAACTTCTCCATGTTGGTGTCCACGTCCTGCAGCCTCGTCCTCAGTAGGCTTCCCTGTGGCCTAAAGGGTCTACCCCTTTAAGGAACCATATATGGGTGGTTGTCAAAATTATGGTCCCTTTTTGGGGTACCCTAAATAATAGGTGCCGTATTATAATAAGGACCCAAAAAGGGACCCTAATTTTGACAACCACCCATATCTAGAAACCATAATAAGGAACACTAAAAGGTAGGTTTTTGCGGCTACAGGTAGGGCATAGGGTTGATAGGGTTTCATTTTTGAACCATTGGGGCTGTCGGGCCCTCGCGAAAGACGGAGCTTGCTTTGCTCTTTAGAGCATGGCTCAGGCAAATCCTTAAACCCTCGACAGCACCATCATCCCCACCATCGTCGACCTCACCTTAAGCATCATACTTGTTGCATCTGAAGCATTTTGGCGAAACCTTAAAACCCCAAGAAACCACAATTTTTACGGCTCCTTACTACGATTTCCTTAGACAAACCTCAAAAACAAACAAGATAGGTTTGTGAGGGTTCAGGTAAACCTAGCACTGTCCAAAGTCCAGGACGAAAATGCCTTGGCAAACCCTCCCCTTCGCTGGTGCCCAAAGTCGGTGTAAAGAAGCACTTTAGGTGAGTTTCGGCATGGTTGAGGGTCCTTCTTGATTCGAATAGGTTTTTTTGGTACAGTATGGTTTAGGGTTTAGGGTTTAGGATTTAGGGTATCGTGTATAGTACGTTCTAATAAGGGGAAACCTCAAGAATGCTGTGGGTAGTTTTTGGTAGTTCTTATTCATGCTGCATGTTTCCCGCTGTAGTATTCAGCTCAAAGGGACTTTGGAGGTTGCAAAGCCTGTCGATTCTTCCAACTCCATATGGCCCAACACCCGGCTTAAGGATTCTTTTCAAAACTCAAAACTCCAACCCTCCAACTCTGAAGCCTTGAATTCTGCATTCTACACGTAGCTCCAGAAGCACCGAGAAGCTCACGAGGGAAAGCATGCTATCTAAAGCCCGCGCCGCCGTATCTACAAACCTGATACTGCCCCACTGCGACAACTAGCTCAGTAAATGCTCACCAGTTACACTTACAGGCCTTCAATGCACGGCTACTGAAACCCTAAACCCTAACAACTTCACAACCGTCCGAGCATCTCCACGCCACTGAAGGCACCCTCGGCACGATCCAAGCGGACGTTAGCCGTCTCCTGAATCAAGCACAGAAACAAAAAGATTCGATAACTACAAAGACCACATCATGACATAGTGTTTCGGTGATCTCAGTTGCATATTAAAGGAAACTAAGTCCTGAGCATTAAAAAAATATTATTGAAAAGATTTAAATATTGTATTCTAGCTCTAGGCAAACTCGAAGAGTCTAACTCCATCTCCCGGCTTTGATCGTTCGCGAATTCGGGCATTGGGGGTCAGGCTGTGGTGCGTCTAGCGTATGCCCGCCCATGGTTTAGGGTTTAGGGTTTAGGGTATGTTGGGGCAAACATAACCCTAAGGGTCCATGTACCCAAATAGATATACTTTGGCCTTAAAGTAGTCCCTATATAAGTACTTTGGGGCCAATGTATATACTATTTGGGCACATGGACCCTCAGGGATAAGCAAAACATGACGGTCTTCCTAGCAGCAACGCCAGCGACCTGGAGACACTGGCAACAGCTATGACATACAACGTTCGCATGACGACAGCCACACGGACGAACACAAAACCAGTGAGGAATGGAAGTGCAATGCGACTACGTCCGCAACCACCACAGCCACCACGACCACCTCAACCCCCACAACCACCCGCTCTCACCACCACCATCACAACCACCCAGAAGCAGCAGCGGCCACCATATCAAGCACGAACATCAGCACCAGTGGTAACAAGAACAACCACCACAAGCGGCAACATCGCCCTAAACCCTAAACCCTGAACCCTACACCAGCGGCACAAGCTCAACAGCGCCAAGCGGCCAGAAGGACAGCGAGCGTTTCCAGCCGCTGATTCCCGGCTACTGCCTGCAGAGAGGATTTAGGGTTTAGGGTTTAGGGTTCAGGGTTGAGGGTTCAGGATTTAGGGTTGGACTCGCATTTGGAGATTGGCATTTGACTTCCTAATTGTCAAAGGAGTTCTCCTCATGTTGGAATCTGATAGAAAAGTTGTGATTGCAGACAAATCAATTTAGCCTTCTGCTGGAGGTGCTGGCCAAATCTGTCCAAGTAGGTACTTGACAACAAAGTAGTGTCTCGTCGACACTACTGGCTGTTTGCACGTAGTTCAGAAGAACGCCTTGACTGCCTTCGTCACAGCCTGTTGGACAATTATGCATCGGCTGACTTTTCATATAGGGGCCTTACTAGTTATAATAGGGCTTGGGCAGGTGTATTATACTGCAAAAGGCTACCAGACATACTGGTATTGGGGACTGCAAGCGGATCCGACTACTAGTCATCCTTAACAGCTTGACTTCCCCTATGAACGCCTATAAACTTTTCAAAAGAAGCCCAGAATCAAGGGGCATGATCCGACCAACCACCTGCGGGAGAAAATCTCCCGGCTGGCTCCGGCTTATTGCTTAGGGTTGTTTAGGGTTTAGGGTTTAGGGTTTTGGGTTTAGGGGGTTTTGGGTTTAGGGGGTTTAGGGTTTAGGGTTTCGGGTTTCGGGTTTCGGGTTTCGGGTTTAGGGTTCCCCTGTTTCGGGTCAGGATGCTAGGCTACAAGGAGATCATGGCTCGCTGACTTTCCCCCAAGGGTCCAAAACAAAAGACCCAGTCATAAGGTACTTTGGGTTTAGGGTTTAGGGTTTAGGGTTTAGGGTTTAGGGTTTAGGGTGCAGGGTTAGGGAAAAGGGTTGCGGATAGTAGTTATTTAAGTTAATATTTGGGAGTATATGATGATTAGATACTTGGACCCTTAGGGTTCTGCGCTTCGCTATATGGGTAGTTCTCTGCAGTCGGTCCCTTTTTAGGTGCCCCCCCATACAGTACGGCACCCTTTCTAAAAGGACCCTAAACCGGACCCTACTTTAGAGAACCACCCATATGTATGGTTTAAGGGTTTAGAGTTTACCCGAAAGGTCCTGAGGACCCAATGATTGGGCACACGGGTTTTGAATATCCGTATTGCATGTTAGTTCTCTGGGGGCCTTTGGGGAGTATATGATTGTTAGGTTAGATGCTAGGTACTTGGACCTTTATACTTTAGCAAACAAATATTTTCATGATACGCAAAACCCTGTGGGACAAACTTGTCGGGGTGGATGCCCACCGGGACTGCGAATCCGAAGTCCTTAACATCATGGCTTCACACCCTGCTCACACGCTGTTTCAACACCATCAAGATTGATAGAGCTCTTCTCATAAACTACCTCCGCTCCACAGTTCCCACCGCTTGCGACGGGATGCCTCCCCAGTGAGGCTCTGCAGCCGAGTGCTATGCTCGGCCGTTCGTGCCTGTCCGGCCGGGGCTTGACGTTGACCTACCAAAACCTACTGTTTTGGAGGGCCCCCAAAACTCCTCAATAGGGTTTGTAGGAACAATGTGAGCCTCCAGGAAAGTAGGTTGAGGATGGTAGTTTGGGGAAGGGTTTAAGGGTGTAATTTACTGTTTTGGGACGTTTGCTGCAATGGTTGTAGGCTGTTGGGCTTTCTGGGGTTAGGGTCAGGTCTTATGACAAACTCCTTCCAAGTGCAAGGACGTCCATCAAGCTAAGCTGACCGATCCCAGGACGACACGTTGAACATTGAAAATCATATAGGGCTTAGGGTTTATGGATGCCGCAAACAGTCATCTACAACTCTCGCCTGAAGATGCCCCGTGAGTTCTTGGAGGTCTCGAATCTTGCCGCTGGTGAGCCGCATGTGGCCTGCAAGCTCCTTCAACTGCAGATCTAAGGCCCAATTAAGGCCTACGGTGTTAGCGCATGTTTAAGGGTTGATGTCTACCCTAAGGGTCCATGTGCCCAAATAAATATACTTTGGCCTTAAAGTGGTCCCTATAGAAGTACTTTGGGGCCAATGTATATACTATTTGGGTACATGGACCCTTAAACCCTCAACCCCTATGGTACCCTCATAGAACCCTTAAAAGGACCCCTTTAAAGGAACCCCTAAAGGTACATTATAAAATTTTGGTACATGGACCCTCAGGGTTAGGGATTCTCAGGGTATCTCTGGCCTTCCTGACATTCGTATATGCAGGGCAAAAGATGATCCGACTCAGAGCAGGTACTTAAAGAAAGGGATTACCAGGACTGTATCAGGGGTTTAGGGTTTAGGGGGTTAGGGTTTCGGGTTTACGGTCTTTTCCTAAGCAGTGCGGCGCGCACTGTGCAGTTCTTGTGCTGGGTGGAAAGACAATTGGTTTGGGTCTGAATCCCGCCAGTGTCCGGAGGGTCCACAGGTTACTTGGACCCTAAACCCTGAACTCTAAACCCTAAACATATTGCTGTCTCTGAATCCCCCAGTACATGGTGGGAAGCTTTTGTGACATGGTGTCCTGGTAGTCTTCTGGTGGCCTTGTAATTTAGTGTTTAGGGTTTGGGTTTAAAAATATTTGTTGTGGTCTCCTGGTTGTCTTCTAAGGTGTCAATGTGGTACATGGTACGGTCTTTGGGCCCCAAAAACGTTACCCTAAAACCCTAAACCCTAAACCCTAAAACCCTAAAACCCTAAATCCTAAACCCTTAAAACCCTAAAACCCTAAAACCCTAAACCCTTAAGAAACGCTAAAACCCCAAGCCCCAAGTACACGAGTCCTCAGAGCCTTCGAGTTTGGGTTCCGGATGCTAACAGCGACAACACGCAGCGAAACGCAAACTTACCACAAGGGTTTAGGTTTTAGGGTTTAGGGTACAGAAGCAGCTTGCCCTTGGGTTTAGGGTTTAGGGTTTTGCTCCAGTTGCCTAAATTAGGTTACTGGGTTACTTCATATGTGGCTATAGTAACCAACTAGTTATTTTCAGGCGACTGGAGCCCCACACTTGGCCTACGTCAACCTACTATTTAGGCAAATGGAACCGGAGTCCTAGGATCCTATTGTCGGCACTGATCTTGGCATTTCGAGAGTACCTTTCGACACGCACCTGCGAAGAGATGCCCTAAACCCTAGGCCATAAACCCTAAACCGCATGGTCTTTGATTTGGTGTAAGGAGGAAAACTAGACCCTAAGCGGTACCGAATAAGAACCTAAGCCCCAAGTCTAAAGCCTAAGCCGTGAGGGTCCGGGTGCCTACCAGTCATAATACTCTCCCAAATAGTAGCCTACATAACTGCTGTCCGAAACAGAAGTACCTACTTATTGGGTCTTTTGGACCTTAAGACCACGCTACAATCCCTTACAAAATCCCATGGCTCCCTTATGAACCCTTCTAAGAACCCATGAGAACTCTAATTCCTGGGTCCTTTGGACCCTCAGGGTTTAGGGTTTAGGGTTAAGGTTTTAGGGTATAGTGTCTAGGTTTAGGGTTGAGGATTTAAGTGTTAAGGGTTAAGGCTGTGGGGTTTAGGGTTCTCCTCCTCGAGTCTCCGGAACAGCAGGTCGTCAACAGCCGGGGCCTTGGGCCCAAGGGCTCCATTGACTGGGTTCTTTCGGGGTCTTGTGGGGTTTAGGGTTTAGGGGTTTAGGGGTTTAGGGTTTAGCTTCTTTCGCGGTCTTGTGGAGTTTGATTCGTTTGTGATTGTTTTATAGGGTTGCAGGGTTGCATAAGAAGTTTTGACAATTGTGTATACGGGGTTTTGTAAGGTTCAAGCCAAGATGGCCCGCATGGCGAGGTGTCTTGCCTCTTTAGGTTTCGGATTTAGGGTTTTGGGTTTTGAAGGTTGAAATTGCTTTGGCTTTGGGCTAGTGTCTCAAGGTTGCAGGGTTCAGGGTTTTAGGCTTCGGGTTTGGAGGTAAAGGTCTTGAGCTTCAAGACAACGTCTTTGCCGCTGCAATGCTGTCGAAGTCTCGGCCGAATACCGCATCTGAGCTCCAGTGTCCAATGCCTGCCGCGCACCAAACCAACACAGTGCCCTGAAATGCTCACAGATATCGTTTAGGGTTTAACCCTTCCCTAGACCCTAGACCCGTGTTTATAAACCGTCCTGCCCTGCCCCGCTCTGCCGGTCCCTCCTTGCCTACAGGGGCCCGCTTTTCCACGGCAAACCCCATACCCAAATCCTAAACCCTAAACCCCAAACCCCATACCCCAAATCCTAAACCCTAAAACCTAGACCCCAAACCCAAAACCCTAAACCCTAAACCCTAAAACTCCAAAACCCTAAACCCTAAACCCTAAACCCTAAAACCCCCAAACCCAAAACCCTAAAACCCCAAACCCTAAACCCTAAACCCTAAACCCCAAAACCAAAAAACCTAAAACCCCGAAACCCAAAACCCTAAACCCTAAACCCTAAACCCCAAACCCCATACACCAAATCCTAAACCCTAAACCCCAAAACCCTAAACCCCCAAACCCTAAACCCTAAACCCCAAAACCCCAAACCCTAAAACCCCGAAACCCAAAACCCAAAACCCTAAACCCTAAACCCTAAACCCCAAACCCCATACCCCAAATCCTAAACCCTAAACCCTAAACCCCAAAACCCTAAACCCTAAACCCCAAAACCCTAAACCCTAGA